TCATATATATGTTTTTAAAACATAGCCAGTCCACAATGCCACTACAACCCCTTTTCCAGGTTTTATTTAACTTTTTGGTTCCAGTCAGTGGCTGCTGATCAATAATTAAGACAAATAATTTCAATAATAAAGAAATAATGATTTTAAACTTACTATACTTTATGGCAAGCAGAAAAACTATGAGTGTGAGACTTCTGTGAAGTTAAAAGCCAGATCTGAAGTGCTTTCCTCTTTTTATACAAATAATTTAATACATTATTTCCAAGCTCTGAATCAAGCACTTGACACAGATAATATTTCATAAAACAATAATGATTTGCTAGGAAACTTCAACCAAAGATCCAAACATTCTCTTGCTAATTCAAAAGGGTGCCAAGAAATTTTCAGTAAGCATACACAATGGCCTGGAGGGTCCTGAAGCTGCTGTCAAGGTTACATTTAAGTCATCTGTACACCATCTTGAGATACTCACCTGTCTTTCATGGTGATTGTCAGAACTAGCAACACAATCCTGCTGTAATGTGCTCAGAAAGGCAAATATTTTTATTTAATTATTATTCAACGATTAAGTGACATGAATAAAACTTCCTAGAAAATGTGCAGGATTGTGCTAATTCAGGATTATTTAGCTGATCGTCTGATCAATAGATTATTGTGGGTTTGTAGAGTTCTGAACCTGCTTCATGTCCCTGCAAGAGACAACTTCCATATATGCCCGCAAGCAGAATTCCAGACAACTTTTTTGAGTTGCAGTCGTTGTGCTGTGGCACCACCTAAAGGTCCAATAAAGAAGTCAACCTGTGATGTGTAGTTCAAACTAGAGATGGGCAGATATCAGAAAAATGGGGATTTGTCGATGCATCACAAATAATTAACAAGGAAAATTCCTTTAGCATCTGGCTTGGGGGAACCCAATCTTCAACAAACATAGAGGGATTGTAGAGGAGAATCAGGGCAAGCTTCTCTTGGATTCTGGTGTGTCTAAGTGCCTGGGGTAACTTTTGTGGTGGGGGCTGTCTATGGGTGTATAACTCAGACATCTGAAACCAATCTTCAACAAACTTGGAAGAATTGTAGAGGAGGATCAGAGAAAGCATCTCTATGATTTTGATGTTTCTAGGTGCCTGGGGGAGCATTTTATGGCTTAATGAATTGACAACCCAAAAATCACTAAAATTCATTGATTCATATTCGTTGGGGGCATTAATTTGTACAAATACAAATTGACAAATAAGCAATTTTTGAACAAATTTGGTGATTATTTTTTAATTCATGCCATCTCTACCTGAAACCAATCCTAAGCACATGGTTCCTCATTTTTCTTCAGACTTCAGACTCTCCTTATGAGTGTAGAATGGAGAGGATCGTTTTGAAATCAACTGTATACTATCATCAAAAAAGGCCATGAACTGGCTCAAAAGCAAAGCTTGACAACAGAAATATGCTTTACAACTCTGTTGGGGCCTCTGAGAAAAGGCAGCTTGTTCCAACTCAAGTTTGTGAACACTTGCAAATGAAAATAGACTCAAAAGAGTGGAATGGAAAGAGGTGGGAGCATCAGCATGTCTGAGGAAATGTGCACGGTGGCCTGAATAATAATTTTTTTGAAAAAAGACTGTAAGGGAGCAAAGCTTCTTGAAGAATAGCCCAATGAGGACTCATTGTGTCAATTTGTTGTTCTTGTTGTTTAGTCGTTAAGTCGTGTCTGACTCTTCGTAACCCCATGGAGCAGAGAACACCAGGCCCTCTTGTCTTCCACTGCCTCCCGGAGTTGGGTCAAATTAATGTTGTTCGCTTTGATGACACTGTCCAACCATCTCATCCTCTGTCGTCCCCTTCTCCTCTTGCCCTCACACTTTCCCAACATCAGGATCTTTTCCAGGGAGCCTTCTCATGAGATGACCAACTTATTGGAGCCTCATCTTCAGGATCTGTTCTTCCAGTGAGCACTCAGGGTTGATTTCCTGCAAAATGGATTGGTTGCAGTCCAGGGGACTCTCAAGAGTCTCCTCCAGCACCACAATTCAAAAGCATCAATTCTTCGCCGGTCAGCCTTCTTTATGGTCCATCTCTCACTTCCATACATCACTACTGGAAAAAACATGGCTTTGACTATGCGGACCTTTGTCGGCAAGGTGCCTGCTTGTTAAGATGCTGTCTAGGTTTGTCTTAGCTTTACTCCCAAGAAGCAGGAGTCTTTTATTTTCGTGACTGCTGTCACTATCTGCAGTGATCACGGAGTCCAAGAAAGTAAAATCCGTCACTGCCTCCAGCTCTTCCTTTTCTATTTGCCAGGAGGTGATGGGACCAGTGGCCATGATCTTAGTTTTTTTTTTTATGTTGAGCTTCAGACTCTCCTCTTTCACCCTCATTAAGAGGTTCTTTAATTCCTCCTCACTTTCTGCCATCAGAGTGGTATCATCTGCATATCTGAGGTTGTTGATATTTCTTCTGGCAATCTTAATTCTGGCTTGGGATTCCTCCAGTCCTGCCTTTTGCATGATGTATTCTGCATATAATTAAATAAGCAGGGAGACAATATACAGCCTTGTCATATTCCTTTCCCAATTTTGAACCAATTACTTGTTCCATATCCAGTTCTAACTGTTGCTTCCTGTCCCACATATAGATTCTCAGGAGATAGATAAGGTGGTCAGGCACTCCCATTTCTTTAAGAACTTGCCATAGTTTTCTGTGGTCCACACAAAGACTTTTGCGTAGTCATTGAAGCAGAAGTACAGTAGATGTTTTTCTGGAACTTGAAATGACAGGTTACCTACCTGTAATTGTAGTTCTTCGAGTGGACCTCTGTGATTCACATTATGGGTAATCTGCACATGCATGGAATCTCGTCTGAACATTCTAGAGCTTCTGTGGTGGCAAAAAGATACATTAGCATAAACCCTCCCCCCTGGTATATGTACTTTGGCGCCAGGCTCTCCTTTCAGTTAGGTCAACTGCCGCATAAAGAAAAAGGGCATGACAGTGGGGACGCTGGGTCGGGATGTGTGAATTACAGAGGTCCAATTGTGTCATTCTTCTTTGTGGCCTCTGTGAATCACACTATGGGTGACTAACAAGCTGTCTTACCCAGAGGAGGATGTCACGCCAAGGTAGATTATAACTCAGCACGCCCAAAAGCAGGATCAGATTTCTGCTGAACGTCCAATGTGTAGTGATTGATAAATATGTACGGCTGTGCCCATGTGGCAGAGGCACAGACATCAGGTAGAGGGATGCCTAAAAGAAATCCCATAGGAGTTGCCAACGACCTGGTGGAATGAGGGCAGATACTCTGTGGCGCTGGAGCTCGACCAAGCTGATAAGCTAGCTATGGCGTCTTTGAGTATTAACGACTGTATTCCATCCTGCAGAGTTTGAGATGGAGGTATGATGGTGTGTGACGGTGGAGGAAGCTGGTGGAATTCGATGCAGTACCTGTTCCGTATGATGGAGAGGACCCATGCATCTGTGGTGATGTGTGCCCATGCAGATAAGTGCTTCCACACAGGTAAGAAGTGGGAGATAGTATTGGGATCTCAGCCGTTTGAATGTCAAACGTGATGCTTAGGCTTACGGTAATTGTGCCTGGTTGTGGTCTGTTGATGAGGCTTGGCTTGTAAGGTTGTTGTTTATATTAAGGTACACAAAATGTTTGCCTTTGAGGTTCTTGCTGGAATTTTTAGTAAGAGGTTTATGGGTGGTGCCACTGATAGCATTGAGGGCACTGTTGGTATATGGGGTATACTCCCCAACACCTGGCAGCTGTCCTCTTTTTCTGAACATTCTCAAGAATGTTATCCATCTCAGCATTGAAAAGACAAACTCCATCGAATGGGAGGTCTTCAATGTGGCGCACATATCTTTGGTGAGACTCGCAGTTCTAAGCCACGAGAAGCATCAAAGTGCTACAGAGGTAGCCATTGATTTACACGTGGTATCAACAGTGTGTTTAGCAGACAGCATCTGTTGTTTTGCTATCAAGAGACCCTCTTGTTGAAAAGTTCGTGCTAAGACGTTTTCCTTCAGGAGCGCATCAATAAAGGTAGACATAGTGTCCCAAAGAAAGCACAGATAAACGCCCATAGCTCCTTGGTAGTTGGTCACTCTCATGTTGAAAGCAGCAGAGGAATATAGCCATCTGTACATAGAGACAATCCGCCTGCTATCTTTATTAGGTGGTATTAGCACTTGTTGGTGTTGAGAGTGAGACTGTGAAGCTTTGACAAAGATGGCAGCTTTTCCCACTCTTTTGTTGACTATAAGGGCTACTCCATTTCTTCTACGGGATTCTTGCCCACAATAGTAGATACGATAATTGTCTGAATTGAATTCACCCATTCCCGTCCATTTTAGTTCACTGACACCCAGGATGTCAATGTTTATTCTTGCCATTTCCTTGTTATGTTTAAGATGCCAGAAGACTTTTTGTTGTTTTGCTTCAACTGACTCATGTCACATACCGCACCAGCAGGAAATGTGCAAGTCTAAATAATAAATAAATGATATATTCTGCTCCTCAGAACAGGAATAATAAGATACCTGGTTAGTTGAGGATTAGAACTGAGCAGTGTGTGTTTAATTAGGCTTCAAGGAGCTTATACCATTCTGCAGAACCACTGTCAGCAATTCGGGAAATGAAGTTAGAATCACAGACAGACAGATAATTTTGAAAACAGTAGAAGACAGACATTGTATTGCTACAAACTGATCCATGTAGACAAGAAATGAGAATAATACAACAGTAATTCACATCGGAGGAGAGGGAGGGTTACACTTGTAAAAGAAGGGAGGTGGGAATTATTCACAGCTTTGGAACAGGTAAACTAATCTGTTATCTTGAGAGGATCTGCCCTCCCAGCTACACAGCATGAACAAACCTTAGCTTGTTGGTGGATAATAGCCTCACAGAACATTATCTCCTTCTTTTACACGCTGATACTGGAACCAAGCTTTCGTAGGCAGGTGCAATCCAGTCTCCAGAACCAAAGGTTTCGAGCATGAATATTAACGTGGATGAAGTAGAAACATTTCTGGATAACAACTTTGATTTTGCAAAGCAATATTTTGAGAGGAAATTGAGGGGCAGGGTCTCGCATGAAATGGCAAACGATCATCATCAACCTACTGAGGATTTCACGGGTTTTGAAGGGTTGGGCCAGGATGAGACGGAAACGCTGTTTGAACTGATACAAGACATGCAAGAGAGCGTCAACATGGAGAAAGTGGTCTTCAAGACCTTGAGAAGAATTAGCGCTCTTATCCGTGCTGACTGCTGCAGCCTCTTCATGTACAGGCAGCGAAACGGCACACCAGAGCTTGCTACACGTCTGTTCAACATTCATAAGGAGAGCACAGTGGAGGAATGTTTGGTGCACCCTGACTGCGAGATTGTTTTTCCTCTGGACATGGGTGTGGTGGGCCACGTGGCACAGACAAAGAAGACTGTGAACATCCCAAACGTTGATGAGGTAAGGCTTCCAGATTTGTTGCCTTCCTGCTGACAAATGCCAAAGAATAAGATTGTATTATTATATATATTTTAAAAGGGCAGCACATTCCAACTATTACCAAGGCATGGGTGGTGGAAACACAGACTTGCAGATGGTCTGTTGATGCCTCAGTGAAGACAAATGAAATCAATGATAATGATACAGGCCTTTATTTGAAATGGTTGCCATTGAGCTTTATTTGATGTTCATACTGCAAGCTGAAAAGATAATTTTTTTGGTTCAGGTTAAACCAGACACAGCTTGCCTCTACAGCAGCACAAACAGTTCCATCTGTAATCTCAAATAAAAGCCTGTCTGACTGAGTGTGCAGCTCCCTCCTATGTCTTCATGCAGCTTTGTGAATTGAAGACAACTACAGCACTTGAATTTGAAGTCACAAGGCATTCCACCATTCTCTCCCACCTAAATAATAGTAATAATTGTATGCCTCAAGTGAAGTCTGATGTATGGCCACCCTCCCAGGGTTTTCCAGTTAGAAATAGACTAGTTAGAAATGGTTTGTTAGTCCCTACTTCTGATTATTGTGTTTCTTGCTTAAAACTGGTCAGTATATGGTACCCAGATTAATGTAAGAAACTAATCTGAAGGCCAGTAAACAACGAACGAACACATGGCATGGCATGGCATGGCATGGCATGGCATGGCATGGCTTGGCTTGGCTTGGCTTGGCTTGGCTTGGCTTGGCTTGGCTTTCACCCTACCTTCCTCCTTAAAAGGACCCAAGGTGGATTACAGTACTAAAAATGCACTAGATAAATAAAAGCTAAAAACAATTATACAAATATTTAAAAAGAATTTGACAAGTATTTTATTTAAAATGGTAAATAAAATCAATACACATTTAAAAGCAATATCCAGGAAAGAAACAGAGAAACCAAATAGTGTTTAACCAATCTGATACTGTTCTGAGAAGTAAGACTTACTCCTATTCAATAGATAAATAACTGACTTAGGTTAACCAAGAGTATGACACAGTGTAAGGCAGCTTCATATGTTTCTATTCTGCCATTTTAATCCCCCCCCCAATGATCTTGTTCTTTTTATACATTCCTCTGCTTTGGCTTATTCTGCTCTGCTCACTAGGTGTTACTCCCAATAGGTGCTAATTAACTTTTTTAACCCAATGTGACACCTGAAGGTGATCTCCCATTTTGCTGCCTTGCTCAATGTGTATCTTTCCAAGCCAATCAAGAGGTCCCTATGCTCCATCCATGGCTGAGAAGAGATCTGCAAGGTCAAGCATTGTGCCTGCATGCAAGGGAAGACCATAATCTCACACCTTGTCACTTGCCCCATGTCGAACCTTGAAAGTCCATCTTGTCTTGCAGGCAGTCTCTATTTAAGAACAGTGGCCATCACATCTGGCCCAATATTTCAGCCCAGTATTTTTGCGCTGCCTTCCTCCTCTGTATTCCCAAATTGTATACCATCTTTGCCTGATAAAAAGAATACAGCCAGCAGAATCTAGACAGCTGAAGGAGGCTAAGTCCACAGATTCTAGTGTATATCGAAAGGATTAAATAAGGACCATGGGTTCTTAGCATGCTTTGTATAATTAGTACAGTACCCTCAGTTCATTCACAGGCATAACTTTAACCAAAAAAATTATTTTCTTTGACATAAATTTAAACGCAGTACAGTTCCTCAAAAGCTTCTTGACATCTTTTTTAAAAACTTCTTTACTCTGTGTACTGTGTAAGCCTGTAGCCTAACAACTAGTCTTTGTATGTCTGAGAAAGTGTGCTGTAACCCAGTGGTTCTTAACTTTGGGTTACTCAGGTGTTTTTGAACTGCAATTTCCAGAAACCCCAGCCAGCACAGCTGGTGGTGAAGGCTTCTGGGAGTGGCAGTCCAAAAACACCTGAGTAACCCAAGGTTAAGAACCACTGCTGCAACCCACAAAAGCTCACACTGAAAAAATCTGTTAGTTTTTCAATTGCCACCACTCTTCTGCTGTTGATCCGATTCTTAGTCTTATTTGTCTATTATTTATTTAAAATAGTTTGACCCTGCCTTTCTCCTTAAAAAGGACCCAAGGCAGCTTACATCATTAAAAGACAAAGCTAAAAAGAGTAAGTATGTATCCACATACTAAAAAGGATCAAGCAAATACCACACTAAAACAAAACAAATCAAAAACCACAATGGTAAAGAAAAGCAATACCAGAAAGATGGTTGTTGTGGTTTTTTCGGGCTCTTTGGCTATGTTCTGAAGGTTGTTCTTCCTAACGTTTTGCCAGTCTCTGTGGCCAGCTACTCCTGTCCTCTGAAGATGCCGGCCACAAAAACTGGCAAAACGTTAGGAAGAGCAACCTTCAGAACAGGCCCAAATAGCCCGAAAAACCCACAACAACCATTAGATCCCGGCCGTGAAACAAAAGCCCGAAAAACCCACAACAACCATTAGATCCCGGCCGTGAAAGCCTTCGCGAAATACCAGAAAGACATAGAAAGCGGTAAGGCACAACAATCCATTAAAAAGCCCCACTCAGCCCCTCACTCAAAAGTAGCCAGCCAGTCACTCAGAGAAAGCTAGCCTGAATAGTCTTACAAATGATGGCCATTCCTCTTCCCTGCTTTTTACTCTAAGCCTTTGGGCTGCTTAATCTCTTTTAAAGTTCTTTCTATTATGCCTGCTTTCGGTGATGTTAGAAATGAATGTTGGAATGGGAGTTGCAGGTTTTAAGACTCGCTGAGCCTTAAAAGTGGATAGCCTTGGGCCAGTCACTCTTAGTCTGACCTACCTTTCAGTGATGGTTCTGAGAATTAAAGTAAGGAGGCAGAGAAGAGGGATGACATGAGCCACCTTGAGGTCACTGATGAAACAGAATTACATAAATATAATTAATAGAGATTGTATGAGGATGGCATTGGACAAGAGTATTAAAGGGATTAACCAGCAAATCTGCATGGCTGCAAGTGCTATTTGTTGGCAAAAGATGGTCAAAACAATATTTTTTCTGGTACCATTATAAGAATAATGACCCAAACATGAGTGCATGTTACCTTCATAAACAGATGTATGCAATTTGCATTCTTAATGGAAAAGTAATGATATTATTCAGAAAGCATTTTTTTCTTTATGTTATGTCAGAAAACAATGTTTATTAAACTTTCAACTCTGCATATTGCATTCAGAATTATTCATCTGAAATCCCTGCAATCCAAAAATGCTGTCTAGGATTACTTTGCTCTTCGGTACGGTTTCAATAACTAGGTCATTTGTTCATAACAGATGGATAAGTAGTTTATCCCATACAGGAATAAACCAATTACCCATAGTAGTTTTGTGTCCCCATTTTCCTATCCCCAAACAAAGCAGTAGGATTTGGAATGCCACTTTGTCTCTGTAACGGTAGATAGGAGGAGAAACCACTCTTAAGTTTCTGGTATCTGTAAGACTTTATTTACAAACACATCAGGGGCAGCAACAGGATAACAGCAGAGACACAAGAACACAGGAAATCCATGCTACTGCCAGAAGCACAAACCGCATCATAGAAGAGAGCCAGTCTGTAGTGTACAGTAATGATTAGAACAGTGGACTGGGACTTGGGAGATGCACACTTAGTCCCTACTATCTATCTATCTATCTATCTATCTATCTATCTATCTATCTATCTATCTATCTATCTATCTATCTATCTATCTATCTATCTATCTATCTATCTATCTATCTATCTATCTATCTATCTATCT